TGCAAATTAGCTCCTGATTTTCATAATTGTCATCTGATTATGCCAAGCATCACTTCCGCTATCTACATGCCAAAAATGACTACAATCCGTCAACCGGTTTTTGAGTTATGCTCCTTCGAAAATGTTTCAACAAATGCTTCTGCAGTTCCAGAACAAGCTGTTAGGGGGCCCGAAACTCATGTCACTTTTCCCTACCCAACGAGCTATCTACCAACCAAAATTACGTGACCCTAGCATGTCCAGATCGCGAGATATGAAAACTGGAAGTTCTGCTGCAGTACCAACAAAAGCCGCCAGGGGGCCCAAAATCTAATCATTTCTAGGTCTCATCAAGACCTACCTACGTACCAAGTTTCATGACAATGCATATTAAGCTTCTTGAGTTATGCTGTTCACAAACGGACAAACGGACAGACGGACAAACGGACAGACGGACAAACGCTACTGGAAACATAACCTTTTTGGCGAAGGTAACAAGTGCTCAAATATCTCATACCTTCATCATGAATGAGTCTGGGCCGTCAGAAATGTGCCGCTGTATATACCTTGAATTTTATTTTGTTGGTTTGTGAACCAAAGGATGTTAGTGGCACCATACAAGCGAGCCTTTGGTCGCCTGTACTACCTAGGGAGTAGAATAGCCGGTGCCGACAAAATTGAATCGTCATGGTGCCATCTAACATTACAAACATCTGTCTCCCCCCCACCCCCGAGCTGTGACCATCCGTTTCCGCCACCTCAAATACCTTTACCCTAGCATACATTTGAAGCTACATGATACATACATCACAACCCAAGTTATAACCGATTAGAAAATCAGCAACCCCTATGTATGGTGTACCTAAACTTATAACCTTCTGACGAAGGTAATAACTCTTTCCTTACAATGTTTCTTGGTTTTAGGGGTGGAATGCCCATATCGGATGGCCCCAGTAAATGGAGCTCAGAGTTCTGAAGGACCGTACTTTTCCGGAGACCAGGTCACGTACAGCTGTGATGAGGGATACGAACTGGATGGATCCACTAGTGCGACGTGTCTGCCGACCACAATGTGGAGTGATGATGTTCCAACTTGTCAACGTAAGTACCTAGGTTCTGAAACAGATTGTCCCTTTGAAAATGATGCAAAAATTAGAGATGTTAAATCAACTCTTTAAAAAAATAATAATGAGGTAATAAACGAGTAACATGTTTTATCTATTTATCGAGATTTACCACATATTGTATTCTGGATATCCTCCTTACAATGTTTCTTGGTTTTAGGGGTGCAATGCCCATATCGGATGGCCCCAGAAAATGGAGCCCAGAGTTCTGAAGGACCGTACTATTACGGGGACGAGGTCACGTACAGCTGTGATCAGGGATACGAACTGGCCCCGGGCGGAGCCTCTAGTGTAACGTGTCAGGCGGACGAAACTTGGAGTGCTGATGTTCCAACTTGCCAACGTAAGTGACTATGCTTTAAAAGAAGGTTTTGCATTTGAAAAGGATACAAAAATTATCTCAAACAAGAGCTCAAATACCTCATACCTTCATCATGTATGAGTTTGGGCTGTCAGAAATGTGCCGCTGTATATGGTTTGGCATTTATTTTGCTGGTGGTTTGTGAACCAAAGGATGTGAGTGGCACCATACAAACGAGCCTGAACTACCTAGGGACTAGAATAGCCGGTGCCGACAAAATTGAATCGTCATGGTGCCATCTAACGTTACAAACATCTGCCCCCCCCCGTGGCACTGACCATCTGTTTCCACTACCTCAAATACCTTTACCCTCCTCGCTTACATTTGAAGCTACATGTCAATCCTATAAGTGTTGCTGCAATATCTTAGAAAGCCAATAGAATGCCCCAATTCAAACTTAACCTTCCTTTTCCACACTCATGCTACCTACAAAAAACTGTAAAAAACATCCACAACAAAAAAAGTGATCCCGTCTAGTCACACTCCATCATAAAATGACAATAGAAGCTAGCTCCAAAAAGCAGTTATCTTGCTGAAAAACCACACCAGATACCTATTGCCCAAACATGTATGTCCGAGTCAAAAATAAAGACCATAGCATGTCCACACCACGAGATATCATACCCATGTACCCCACTTCAGTACCTTCCAAACTTCTAGTGTACCCAAAATTGACCTTGAACTTTATTTTCCGAACCTCATTCTACCTACAAAATATCATAAAGATACATACACCACACCCCGATTTATAATCGATTACGAAATCAGCAACCCCTATGTATGGTGTACCTAAACTTAAAACCCTCTGACGAAGGTAATAACTCCTTCGTAAACAATAACGAAATAAACGAGTAACATTTTTCATCCATTTATCTATCTTTACCACATATTGTATTTTGGACGTCCTCCTCACAATGTTTCTTGGTTTTAGGGGTGCAATGCCCATATCGGATGGCCCCAGAAAATGGAGCTCAGAGTTCTGAAGGACCGTACTATTACGAGGACGTGGTCACGTACAGCTGTGATCTGGGATACGAACTGGCCCCGGGCGGAGCCTCTAGTGTAACGTGTCAGGCGGACGAAACTTGGAGTGCTGATGTTCCAACTTGCCAACGTAAGTGACTATGCTTGAAAACAAGGTTTTGCCTTTGAAAACGATAAGAATTATCTCAAACAAGAAATCCACGATCTCATACCTTCGCCAAATGACGTTAACCCTTCAATTTTAATCATTGATTTCGCAAATAAGAGCCCCATTTGCATGGGTTACATCAGTTGATCATATTCTCCACCCAACGACAGCCTTATCTTAATAAAAAACGTCATAATTTGAATAAATTATCTTTATTGATGTTGACCATCACTTAACTTCCAAATGCAGCAAGTATGAAATTCCCAGCAATTACAACTATGAAGTCATAGAAATTTGTCGTTAATTATGCAAATAAGGTCTTCATTCTCAGATGTTTTTCTCGTTCTCAAGTACATGCTACAAGTGTTCCATGGTCCTATTATCGAACAAAGCAGATTTATAGAATTTACCCATTAATTATGCAAATTAGCTCCTGATTTTCATAATTGTCATCTGATTATGTTAAGCATCACTTCCGCTATCTACATGCCAAAAATGACTACAATCCGTCAACCGGTTTTTGAGTTATCCTCCTTCGAAAATGTTTCAACAAATGCTTCTGCAGTTCCAGAACAAGCTGTTAGGGGGCCCAAACTCATGTCACTTTTTCCCTACCCCAAGAGCTATCTACCAACCAAAATTCGTGACCCTAGCATGTCCAGATCGCGAGATATGAAAACTGGAAGTTCTGCTGCAGTACCAACAAAAGCCGCCAGGGGGCCCAAAATCTAATCATTTCTAGGTCTCATCAAGACCTACCTACATACCAAGTTTCATGACAATGCATATTAATCTTCTTGAGTTATGCTGTTCACAAACGGACAGACGGACAAACGGACAAACGCTACTGAAAAGTTAACATAACCTTCTTGGCGAAGGTAACAAGAGCTCAAATACCTCATACCTTCATCATGAATGAGTTTGGGCTGTCAGAAATGTGCCGCTGTATATACCTTGAATTTAATTTTGCTGGTTTGTGAACCGAAGGATGTTAGTGGCACCATACAAGCGAGCCTTTGGTCGCCTGAACTACCTAGGGAGTAGAATAGCCGGTGCCGACAAAATTGAATCGTGATGGTGCCATCTAACATTACAAACATCTGTCTCCCCCCCCACCCCGAGCTGTGACCATCCGTTTCCGCCACCTCAAATACCTTTACCCTAGCATACATTTGAAGCTACATGTTACATACATCACAACTCCAGTTATAACCGATTAGAAAATCAGCAACCCCTATGTATGGTGTACCTAAACTTATGACCTTCTGACGAAGTTAATAACTCTTTCGTAAATAGTAATGAATTGATGTAATAAACGAGTAACATGTTTTATCTATTTATCGAGATTTCCCACATATTGTATTCTGGACATCCACCTTACAATGTTTTTTGGTGTTAGGGGTGGAATGCCCATATCGGATGGCCCCAGTAAATGGAGCTGAACAATGTCGTCCCTCAACTTTCTTCCCTCCCTCTTCAACTGATATATTGTCACAGGAATGTTGGCACGAACTCTGTTTAGTCTTTCAAGGGCAGAGAGACGTTGTGAGACGGAGTCCTCGAACATTTTCCTGTCCGCGATGGAGTCTATCAAACAAGTTTCCAGTTTGTTTACGCTGTCCTGGACTTGAGCATTGAAGTAAATAGGGAGTGTATTCTGGACATCCTCCTTACAATGTTTCTTGGTTTTAGGGGTGGAATGCCCATATCGGATGGCCCCAGTAAATGGAGCTCAGAGTTCTGAAGGACCGTACTATTCCGGGGACCAGGTCACGTACAGCTGTGATGAGGGATACGAACTGGATGGATCCACTAGTGCGACGTGTCTGCCGAACACAATGTGGAGTGATGATGTTCCAACTTGTCAACGTAAGTACCTAGGTTCTAAAACAAGATTGTCCCTTTGAAAATGATGCAAAAATTAGAGATGTTAAATCAACTCTTTAAAAAATAATAATGAGGTAATAAACGAGTAACATGTTTTATCTATTTATCGAGATTTACCACATGTTGTATTCTGGACATCCTCCTTACAATATTTCTTGGTTTTAGGGGTGCAATGCCCATATCGGATGGCCCCAGAAAATGGAGCTCAGAGTTCTGAAGGACCGTACTTTTTCGGGGACGAGGTCACGTACAGCTGTAATCAGGGATACGAACTGGCCCCGGGCGGAGCCTCTAGTGTAACGTGTCAGGCGGACACAACTTGGAGTGCTGATGTTCCAACTTGCCAACGTAAGTGACTATGCTTTAAAAGAAGGTTTTGCATTTGAAAAGGATACAAAAATTATCTCAAAGAAGAGCTCAAATACCTCATACCTTCATAATGTATGAGTTTGGGCTGTCAGAAATGTGCCGCTGTATATGGTTTGGCATTTATTTTGCTGGTGGTTTGTGAACCAAAGGATGTGAGTGGCGCCATACAAACGAGCCTGAACTACCTAGGGACTAGAATAGCCGGTGCCGACAAAACTGAATCGTCATGGTGCCATCTAACGTTACAAACATCTGCCCCCCCCCGTGGCACTGACCATCTGTTTCCACTACCTCAAATACCTTTACCCTCCTCGCTTACATTTGAAGCTACTGCTGCAATATCTTAGAAAGCCAATAGAATGCCCCAATTCAAACTTAACCTTCCTTTTCCACACTCATGCTACCTACAAAAAACTGTAAAAAAACATCCACAACAAAAAAGTTATCCCGTCTTGTCACACTCCATCATAAAATGACAAGAGAAGCTCCAAAAAGCAGTTATTTTGCTGAAAAACCACACCAGATACCTATTGCCCAAACATCTATTTCCGAGTCAAAACTCAAGACCATAGCATGTCCACACCACGAGATATCATACCCATCTACCCCACTTCTGTACCTTCCAAACTTCTAGTGTACCCAAAATTGACCTTGAAATTTATTTTCCGAACCTCATTCTACCTACAAAATATCATAAAGATACATACATCACACCCCGATTTATAACCGATTACGAAATCAGCAACCCCTTTGAGTGGTGTACCTAAACTTATAAACTTCTGACGAAGGTAATAACTCCTTCGTAAACAATAACGAAATAAACGAGTAACATTTTTCATCTATTTATCTAGATATACCACATATTGTATTCAGGACGTCCTCCTCACAATGTTTCTTTGTTTTAGGGGTGCAATGCCCATATCGGATGGCCCCAGAAAATGGAGCTCAGAGTTCTGAAGGACCGTACTATTACGAGGACGTGGTCACGTACAGCTGTGATCTGGGATACGAACTGGCCCCGGGCGGAGCCTCTAGTGTAACGTGTCAGGCGGACGAAACTTGGAGTGCTGATGTTCCAACTTGCCAACGTAAGTGACTTTGCTTTAAAACAAGGTTTTGCATTTGAAAACGATAAGAATTATCTCAAACAAGAAATCCACGATCTCATACCTTCGCCAAATGACGTTAACCCTTCAGGTTGAGGAATTATACAATTTTAATCATTGATTTCGCAAATAAGAGCCCCATTTGCATGGGTTACATCAGTTGATCATATTCTCCACCCAACGACAGCCTTATCTTAATACAAAACGTCATAATTTGAATAAATTATCTTTATTGATGTTGACCATCACTTAACTTCCAAATGCAGCAAGTATGAAATTCCCAGCAATTACAACTATGAAATTATAGCAATTTCTCATTAATTATGCAAATAAGGTCTTAATTTACATAATCTACATCCTCAGATGTTTTTCTCGTTCTCAAGTACATGTCACAAGTGTTCCATGGTCCTATTATCGAACAAAGCAGATTTATTGAATTTATCCATTAATTATGCAAATTAGCTCCTGATTTTCATAATTGTCATCTGATTATGTCAAGCATCACTTCCGCTATCTACATGCCAAAAATGACTACAATCCGTCAACCGGTTCTTGAGTTATCCTCAAAAACCGGTTGGGGTGCAGGATGTTTGCTGTTACTGCCCTTGTGTTGGAGTCGCCAAGAATTAGAATGTCTAGTTGCGTGTCTTTGTTGGTTTGCTGATTGGACTTGATTGTTTCGTCGGGCACTGGCACTTCACGGCGGACCCGTCACGCGCAGACTGATTAGCTTTTGAATCTGCATCTTGTGCGTCGCGTGTTTTGACACAGGGCGCGAACTGTCGGCGTCAGAAGGATCAGAGACTTCACTCAGGACCGCGAAACGGTTTTGTACATTCACCGAGGCTACTTCGTGTAACAGCTTGTTAACACGTTCGGAATCTTGAGCTGTGGAGTGTTCATCTGTTGTTTGAGATTCCGTTGATTTTACTTTGACTGAGGTGTTCTGAACTATAGCAGTTAGTTCTTCGAGCTGTACCCGTAGCGTCCCGATTTGGCGTTCAAGGTCGCGTTTCACACCTTCTAGCCGAACAATGTCGTCCCTCAACTTTCTTCCCTCTTCAACTGATATATTGTCACAGGAATGTTGGCACGAATTCTGTTTAGTTTCAAGGGCAGAGAGACGTTGTGAGACGGAGTCCTCGAACATTTTCCTGTCCGCGATGGAGTCTATCAAACAAGTTTCCAGTTTGTTTACGCTGTCCTGGACTTGAGCATTGAAGTGAATAGAGAGTGTATTCTGGACACCCTCCTTACAATGTTTCTTGGTTTTAGGGGTGGAATGCCCATATCGGATGGCCCCAGTAAATGGAGCTCAGAGTTCTGAAGGACCGTACTTTTCCGGGGACCAGGTCACGTACAGCTGTGATGAGGGATACGAACTGGATGGATCCACTAGTGCGACGTGTCTGCCGAACACAATGTGGAGTGATGATGTTCCAACTTGTCAACGTAAGTACCTAGGTTTTAAAACAAGATTGTCCCTTTGATGAAAATGATGCAAAAATTAGAGATGTTAAATCAACTCTTTAAAAAATAATAATGAGGTAATAAACGAGTAACATGTTTTATCTATCTATCGAGATTTACCACATATTGTATTCTGGACATCCTCCTTACAATGTTTCTTGGTTTTAGGGGTGCAATGCCCATATCGGATGGCCCCAGAAAATGGAGCTCAGAGTTCTGAAGGACCGTACTATTTCGGGGACCAGGTCACGTACAGCTGTGACCAGGGATACGAACTGGACGGAGCCTCCGGTGTAACGTGTCAGGCGGACCAAACATGGAGTGCTACTGTTCCAACTTGTAACGGTGCGTACACATAGGTTTTGAAGAAGGTTAGCCTTTGGATACAATGCATGCAAAATTTCGCAATGATTTTACATGTATACAATTGTTTTTCACACCTATGAAGTGGAGTCTGTTTTAACCTGGATGATGTTTGATATGTATGTCAAGATCGGTGAAATGGAATTCGATGATTTTTAGCAGGTGTGTCCATTGGGTAAAGTGGATTGTGTAGGTCGACATTTTCCTCTGTTGATTGACCTTGGTACTGCAGAAGGAATTTGAAAAAAATATCTGGAGTGTCTGTGGATGTGATGTTACGGTGACATATAGTTGTAGAGATAAATATTTACCTCGGTAAACAATTTCATCAGGTTGGTAAACGAATGAATAGCAAAGTTCTTTGATCACAACCATTTATTTTTTTACGAGCCAACGTTTCGATGACCGTCTGTCATCTTCATCAGGGCAATTCTGACTGGTTTACTGTGCACTGACGATAGATGTTACTTGGTGCAAAGTGCACTAAAGGTGTTACATGGTTCACAGTGACTGTTACTTGGTTCACAGTGCACTTAAGCTAGTTTTTACTGTTAACAATATACATAGTGCAATTGTGACATACATAGGCATTGTTGCATCATAGGGACATATGCGGTTCCAAATTTAAAGCGTTTCTATATATAAAATAAAATTTGTTAACTAACAATACTGAGCTATCGCAGTCCCATATAGACATTTTGGGACTGCAATAGCTCAGTATTGTTAGTTAATTAACAATTAACAATACAAATGACGACTTAATTTGCATAGTCTTGGAGGAAATTATGTAATTACAGTGTTTTATATAATAGTTCTTTCATACATATTATGTAATCTGTGGCGGGTGAAACATCAACAAATATCAATTATGCAACTAATTATCTAATTTGCATAATTAATGTTAAAATCCTGTGATTGTTAATAGTGAATGATGGGCATTTTAAACCTTGTCGAACTATAATTTTGATATCAGCAATATTACTTGTATTCTGCTGCATGTATATCGAAAGGAATGTACCCAGATTATTAACCGCTTCATCACTCTGGTTTTGCATATAAAGTGTTGTTAGTTCCACTAATATCCCAACTGATGCCAGTGGCGTTGAAGTCCCCAAGGATGATCACATTGTCTGACTTTATTTTAGCTCCTATTTTACCTATAGACCTGTCAAGTTCACCAAGGCTATTGCCCTAGTCTGATGGGGGTCTGTAGTATGTACCGACTATCAGTGGTTTCCCTCCTGCAAGATTGTAAGAGTAAGAGAAAAACTACAATTATGTTGTTGCGTTTTGTGTCTACAGATATAGATGAATGTGACACTAACACGGACAATTGTCACAATGATGCAACCTGTGCTAACACTGACGTTTTGCTTTATAGATATCGACGAATGTGACATGTACATGGGCACGAACAACTGCCACGCCCAGGCAACCTGTACTAATACGGACGGCAGCCTCACATGTACTTGTAACGACGGTTACACCGGGAACGGAGTCTCCTGTACTGGTAAGAACAAGATTTCGTTAACCATTAACCATCAGACTGTTTGGGTGCATGCATTACTTTTATCACAATTTACTATATATCAAGTCTGATAGATTTTTAGGTACTCTTTATTCATTACAGACTTCAAAGAGAAAATAGGGCATTTATTGTACGTTTAATAATTAAAAATATAACATCAACATTGTACAAAGAATCTATATTTCAGAGATGATACCATGTTGTACTTAATTAAGTATGTATAAATTCATACATAAGTGATACTGCAACCTCATGTTTATCTACCTAAAGTACTACGTAGAACTAGAATGTCAAGTTACCATCGAAATATACCTTCTTTCCTCTTATGATATCTATCATGGACTGTAATATTGATATAGTAAAGAGTAAGAACATAGTAAGTATGTTGTTCGGTTTGTCTCCGCAGATATCAACGAATGTACAGCTAACACGGACAACTGTCACGATGATGCAACCTGTGGTAACACAATCGGCAGTTTCACCTGTACCTGTAACCCCGGTTACACCGGGAGTGGAGTCGACTGTGATGGTAAGAGCAAAGTTCCTTGGTTGTATGTTTCTGAAACATTATACTGATATAGGCATCCAGGCATCATCATGGGCTGAAAGATTGTAACAAAGAGTAAGATAAAAACTACAAGTATGTTGTTGCGTTTTGCGTTTACAGATATATTTACAGATATATTTTACATATATACACCTCCAACCCGGGGACAGTCAACCCAACGTGAACTCAGAAACTCTACAAAACGGACTCTCCCTATCACACGTACAACAAGATGTTACAACAGCCCTTTACCGTCCCTCTTAAGACTGCTGAACGAATCGAAATGATATTACTCTTAAACTTGTAAATGTCTCTAATATATTTTGTGAAACTTGTATATGGAATGTAAATGTAATTTTGATATTTAAGATGCAAATGTGAGCAACATTTGAATCTCGTTATGCTAAATGTGTGAAATATGTTGACTGTGCAGTCGTTAATAAAAAAGAAATGATGTACATCTCTGAACGCAACTCAGCTTCTGCTGCAATGTTCGTGATTTTAACAATAAACCATTTTTGATTGATTTGATTTGATATTTTTGTTTGTCGCTACAGATATCGACGAATGTGAAGCTAACACGGACAACTGTCACAATGATGCAGCCTGTGCTAACACAGACGGCAGTTTCACCTGTACCTGTAACGACGGCTACACCGGGAATGGAGTCTCCTGTACTGGTAAGAACAGGATTTGTTGGTTGTACATATGTTAACCATTAGACTGTCAGAGTCCATGCATTACTTTTGTCAAATTTCATAAAAAGTCTGATAGATTTTCAAGCACTAGTTTTCTGACTAAAATTACTACGTAAAACTATGATGACAAATTACTATCGAGATTCTGTCGAGGTGAGATCTGCGAGATGTACCTTTTTCCCTCTTATGATGTCTACCATAGACGGTAATATTGATATAGTAAATAGTAATAAGACGATAACAAGTATGTTGTTGCGGTTTGTCTCCACAGATATCAACGAATGTACAGCTAACACGGACAACTGTCACGAGGATGCAACCTGTGGTAACACAATCGGCAGTTTCACCTGTAGCTGTAACACCGGTTACACCGGGAGTGGAGTCGACTGTGATGGTAAGGCCACAGCAAGTCATTTTTAATGATAACATCAGCGCGCGCATTAATTTTCACCTGATTTCGGGAAAAGAACACAAGAAATTTTGCTGCTCTCTGACAGTGAACGAAAGTGGGCAACATGCCGGAAATGGGCAAAGGTGTCTGTTGCCATGTCGGCACGTGGATGCAAGACAATACTCTGATGTAATGTTTCATCCTTTGCTTTGATGCAGTTATGTATTTCATTCTTTTTATATGTGATATGGTGGCTGTGTATATGTGATGTTCCCAATAAATCAAAACCATTTGTACAATGATTGAAAACTTTTATTTTTCAAAGTTGTTTCAGTGAGAAATGGATGTTGTAATAGCTGACAGTAAACTAATAGGTATCTTTTCTTGTTTATCAAGGTTTACTTTATTCGCCCTATCGCATTAGATTAGGAGTCTGCGAAGGATGTCATCCATACAATTTACTTGTTGTGGTATAAGGGCAAAGCTACTTGGTCGTATATTTATGAAACATTACTGATTTAACTTCCTCCAGGGATTATCATTATGGACTTTAAGATTGTAGCAAAGAGTAAGATAAAACTACATGTATGTTATCGCGTTTTGTGTTTACAGATATATTTTTGTTTGTCGCTACAGATATCGACGAATGTGAAGCTAACACGGACAATTGTCACGCCCACGCAAGCTGTGCTAACACAGATGGCAATTTCACCTGTACCTGTGACGACGGTTACACCGGGGACGGTGTCACCTGTACTGGTAAGAACAAGATTTGTTGGTTGTACATGTGTTAACCATCGGACTGTTGGAGTCCATGCATTACTGTTATTTTATCAAAGTCTGATAGACTTTTGAGCACTAGTTTTCTACCTTAAAATTACTACGTAAAACTACGATGGCAAGTTACTATCGAGATTCTGTTGAGGTTCATTTCTGTGAGATATAATCAACAATTGTCCTGTTGACATGTTTATATAATTTTTTTTCAATATTTAGATTGTGCTTGTAATAATCAGGCCATATACTCTCGACACTTTTGTGCTGTCGTGGCATAGTTAATTTCGGTGCGTTTCGCTATGGTGTGAGTCCATGTAAGAAATACCCCCTAAATCGTCCATATAAAGGACGCTATGTATGCAACCCATATAAATATGGATCCAGGAGGACAAGGACTTTAACTGTGCTATACCGACGTGATATTTGACCTTAGTACCGGTGTCACAGGGATCTCGCCCACATCCGGTTCGAGATCTCAAGCGATCTTGCTCTCCTCGCTAGTGATTTGCCCCTCCCTCACCCCCCTTTAGCGAGTACCCCTCCCAAAACAATTATATTGCTCAAAAACTTTCGTTTTAGCATGTCAAAAATTTGTTGAATAATTCTAACCATAGTATTTCATTGTATTATGTTGTATGGATTCACAGAATTATTTTACTAATAAAACATTAAGAATATATCAACTCAAATCTTGCGTTGTTGAGATGCCTACAATGCTGTTAACTCTGAGTGTTGAGCAAACAGGGAATACTTCAACCAGGGTTACTTTCTTGCAATTGCTTTAACTGAAACCATAATATTAACGATATCATTAATTCTTTATCAAATTTGTGTACCTGCTATACCTAGAGTAAGAGTAGACTAAGAGTAGACGAGGAGAGGGGGCGAGACCGCTGTGGCACTGGCCGTTTACATTTTAGTGCATCAAATGTGATTATTTACTATTTACCTACGGTATGATGATTACCCTCACCTTATGGGATTCTGTGAGGTCTAGCTCCCTCCCTTCATTGTATACCGTAAGGTAGGTAGTGAAGAAAAAGACGAAGATAATACGTATGTTGCGGTTTGACTCCACAGATGTCAACGAATGTACAGATGGCACACACAACTGCGATGACGATGCAACATGTACCAACACAGACGGCAGTTTCGAATGTACTTGTAACGCCGGTTATACCGGGAACGGAGTCACATGTACTGGTAAGAATTGAAAAAAAAGGACTAACGCTTAATATCTCAAAGACAAAATGCGTGTTAATGTGATCCACTATGAAGACAAAATCCTTTCTCAACTTGATGGTTAAAATTTATGACATCGCTCTAGAGAGAGTTGGCAACACCCTACATATGGCGTAAGAGGCAAATAAGTATTAAATTTGCATATGTTATGAGGAAATTAATTCCGTTTTTCAACATGGTACAATATGTAATTCTGCAGATACCGATGGATGTGATCCGGATCCGTGTGTTGCAATAGCCACCTGTACCGACATTCCGGCTCCTGGGACGGGTGCAACTTGTACCTGTCCCTCGGCAGGGTATTACGGTGATGGAAAAGTTCATGGCAGTGGTTGTCAAGGTAAGTTTCTTAATAGTGAACTACTGTGACAAAGAATCCCAAACATTTTGATGTTTTTACATTTTCGGCATATAGTGGACTATTGTGGTGAAAGAACTTATCGTACGTCTATCTTCACAGACGTCCCCGGTTGCGACATGTACAACAATCCGTGTCATACCCTGGCTACCTGTACCGACGTTCCGGCTCCAGGGACCGGTGCGGTATGTATGTGCCCGGATGGATATGAGGGCGATGGAACTATGTCTGGAACCGGATGTACAGGTAATCCGTTACCTTCGACAATTCGTTCATGTTTTACATAGCATGATGCGATGCCAAGGCTGCCTACATAGCCGTTGCGGGCCCCCAGGGTAGGATATTCGGCCTTTATATATAACGATGGTTGAGAGGCCGATGCTATCGGCAGCCCCTGTACGGGCAATGTATGATGAGAAGTGTATGCAGTGATCTTCATGAGTATTGGAGGCTTTGCGACTTCATAGAATACTGTTTACATGGCATCTACACCTTATCTGTTTTTCAGAACTGCTTATTTATCCTATTCATTTAGTACAGAAAAGTATAAGCGTGCAAATCGGTATTTTGTGGATAAGTAAATTTTATTTGTATATCCCATGTTTTCACCTTATGTTAAAAAATGGGATAAATAACCAAATCTTGTTTTACCGCAGAAATCAATGGATGCGACCCCGACCCGTGCGATCCTAACGCTGAATGTACAGACAATCCACCTCCTGCTGACGATGCGACTTGTGAGTGTAACGATGGATATGAGGGAAATGGATTCACATGCACAGGTACATCACTACAGATAACATTTCAGTGTCTCAGATGCCGCTTTTTCCTTTTATCAATAATGGCATGCTGCAGGTTCAGATCCAATTCTATTCTGCAAGATAAAGCTCCCTCTCTCTAGTGAGGACAAGCAACTTGTACGTGTAACACCGGATATGAGGGAGATGCAACCACGTGTTCATGTATCACTAGAACTTGTAGTGAACCATATGTGCATTAAGTATAATTTAATATATACGACTTTCGATGTTTTACAAGCGCTTAACACGGTGCATTACATGTAGCTATTTACCTTTATCGATAACATACGTTACAAAACAAGACATATATTTTCTCTTGATTAATGAGATTCCGTAGAGGTTCAGATAAGCAAGATATAGTGATGAACATCATGGGCTGTATGTTCTGTTGCCAAAAGTAAGACGAAGATTACTGGCATGATGGTGCGGTTTGTCTCTGCAGATGTCAACGAATGTGAAACTGACACGGACAACTGCGATGATGATGCAACCTGTGGTAACACAATCGGCAGTTTCACCTGTACCTGTAACCCCGGTTACACCGGGGACGGAGTCAACTGTGATGGTAAGAGCGAAGAAGTGTGTATATCGGTAAAATACTTTACTGTTAGAGTGCATTAGCTATAGTTTCATTACACTGGACGACACATTTAGCGTTGATTTGTACAAACTTCGTGTCGAAATTCGGCATTTAACACGTGTATTGAAGAAGCAAAAATATGTGTACGATAACGCGAAACCCCACAAATGTATGGTATATTCCGTGTACTAAAGGTATAGCAATGTCAAACTAAAAATGTAAAAAATGTAAATTGCAGGAACGTGACGTTATATTGCAGAGCAATTGGCGAGTCATGGCCTTAATCTACCTTGTCGTTTCCGGAATAAGACAATCATCCGGTCCAAAATACCTGGTGCAAAATGTATGCCGCTTAATAATTGACATCAAGTGTAGTAAAAAAAAACCTAGTACCGGCTCTTTATGGCACAGCACATGTCACTGTGTACTTTGCTTCTATAGATAAACAAAAGAAGAATGATATTTGTCCAAACTTGAAAAATAAACACAGAAGGGGTTCAATTCTGAGAGATATAGCTCCCACCCTCCAATGATGATCAGCAGCATGTGCTATAAGAATCAGGCGAAGATTAATATTGTGTATTTGTCGTTTGTCCCTACAGATGTCGACGAATGTACAACTGGCACGCACAACTGTCACACTCACGCATTCTGTACTGACACGGACGGCGGTTTCACCTGTACCTGTAACGACGGTTACACCGGGAACGGAGTCACCTGTACTGGTGAGAGGAGCTCATACATATTGCTGTACCTTCCACAATCTGTAGTAACACTATCGGCAGTCTTACCTGTAGCTGTAATGATGGTTACACCGGGGACGGAGTCACCTGTAGTCTGGTAACCGATTTGGTTGCACATTCCTCAAACATTATGCTAATAGTGTGTATACAATGATAGTGTGCATGTACTGCTACCATAGAATTTAATTTCACAATAGATATAGAGACGGATAGTGTAGGCCTGGTTTCTTAAATTAAGTTACGTTTTATATCAAAACATGGCGAAGTACCGGAACTTCCCGCTTAAGTCACTCTTAGTTTCTCGTATCAATAAATGCCATTAAACATTTTCTCAGACTTTGCTTGAACGTGCCAGCAGACAGTTTTCAAGCGGACGCTTTCTCATGTCAACTAGAATTAGACAAGTGTGGTGTCAAATGTTGGGCATCGGGAGTGCGTAAATCTTTAGAAGATTGCGGGTTTGCCTCCTCATGGCATTTACGAATTCCACATGGTACAAACACGTCTCCAATCGTCAACTCTATTGGCCAACGGTTAAAAGATATATACTTTCAAACTTTTCTCAAAGAAATACATGATGACAACAAAGGGGGGCTGCCAAAAATAAGTTACGATCTTATAGACTGTTCAAAACTACATATAATGAAGAAAAACATATAAGTAACGAAAATATGAGGGTGAGAAATGCTGTCACAAGACTTAGAATAAGCTGCCACAGATTACATATTGAAATCGGAAGACATACCCGCACTCCCCTTGAACACAGATTATGTAAATATTGTAACTTGAACAAAATTGAAGACCGCCATTTTGTAACAGAACGTGAATTGTATAGCAAAGAGAGAAATGAACTGTATATGTTTGTACAGCACCTATTCCCCTATTTCATGCACTTAAGTAGTGTAGAAAAATTCATATTCCTTATGCGACTAGACAAACCACCCATCGAAAAACAGATCTGTACCTTTATCTCTACAATAACCGAAAAGCGAGGAGAAGTTGAATTTATATAACTATAGTTAGTTAATTTTGTATCTGTTAACCGTGTTCATTCATCTTGTTTTGTTGTGATCTGTACTTAGCCAAGTGGGGCAGAAATGTGCAATAAAGGTCTTCATTCATTCATTAATTAATTCATTCATTCATTCATTCAATAACGTAAATTACAAATCAAGAATAACATTTCAATTAGATTATGGAAATGAATAAGACGCAGACTTCTATGTATGTAATTGAGTTTGTCGCAACAGATATCGACGAATGTGCAACTGACACGGACAACTGCCACGATGATGCAACCTGTACTGACACAGACGGTAGTTTTACCTGTACCTGTGACGTCGGTTACACCGGGGACGGAGTCGACTGTGATGGTAAGAGCAAATATATTTGGTTGCACAAGTAGTAAAACATGGAATATAGTGTATCGATAAATCATGTTACAAAATAAAAATGATATTTTTCCCTCCTGATAAGAAATTCTGCTAGATATAGCTCTCTCCCTCCAGTGATGAACATCGTGGGTTGTAAGGTTTGTATCAAAGAGTGAAATTTGGAAGAAGATAGTTTGTATGTAATTTCGGTTTGCCTCTACAGATATCGACGAATGTGAAGCTGACACGGACAACTGCCACACTCACGCAGCCTGTACTAACACAGACGGCAGTTTCACCTGTGACTGTAACGCCGGTTACACCGGGAACGGAGTTATCTGTGATGGTAAGGGCAAAAGATTCAATTTTACATCCGTAAAATATTACACTCTCAGTACATCTATTGCTTCCATAGAATTCAAGACTCATAGATTTCTCATAAATTCATTTGATATCACTTTATACAACGAGACTTCGTGTCAAACTATCCTATGAAAGTGCATCTTGAATTACGTGTACGATACAGAGATACGCACAGATACAAAGATATGTGTGAAATATTTGTATGACGCAAAATATGTGCCTCTTTGTATGTGCTTTACATGCGACTATAATCTGTGTTTCTTTGTTAAAAAAACAAGAGTAAAATTTCCCCTTTCCGTGATTACACATAGCGAAGTGGGCCATAGCTGCCTCTCTGGAGAAATATCATGGGCTGTGAATTGTGGAAAAGAGTAAGACAGACTACTACATGTTTTTTTTATCAACAGATATCGATGAATGTGCAGCTGGCACGGATAACTGCGATGACGATGCAACCTGTTCTGACACCGACGGCAGTTTCGTCTGTACCTGTAACGTCGGTTACACCGGGGATGGAGTCAACTGTGATGGTGATAACAAAATTATTTAGTTGCACACAAGTAAACATGGAATATAATATAGGAAACATATACTACTTATTAAATTCAATTTTATAAGCGTTATCGTAGATTAAATACATTAATAATTCCGTGTCCAAATGTATCAAAAGTGTTTCTTCAAAGAACCGAAAATGTGTGTACGATGTAGTGATACCCTACAAACATATATGTATGCGACAGGGTCGTTTACGATGTAACAAGGATTATTTTCTTTGTTGTCCTGCAATATTGCGTATCATGAAAACAGTGAACTAAATAATTACGTATGTTGCAGGCACGTTAAGATTTTGATTTGTTCCGTACGTCACTATAACCCACCATGCAGAAGCTCGTTCCGTTCGATTCATTCCATGCAATAGCTGCCTCCCTGCAGAAATATC